TCAGAGAAGTCCCACAGCAGCAGGAACCGGGCTACAGCCCCAGCCAAAATGGCTCCAGGTAAGATGTAAGTGCAGGGGTGGCTGCAGTCCTATCTTCCTGCTGACAGGCTGGCACAACAGCACGCACCAGTGGCTGGTACAGCTGTGCTGTAGCACAGGACAACACGTGTAGGGTTGAGGAGCCTTCTGGTGCTGGTCTTGGATGCCCAGGCAGCATCTGGCAGAGTTCAAGTTGTTCAGGGCACACTGCTGAAAATGGGTGGAGGTGGAGGTGGTGGTGTCTGATGTGAATGGTTCCCAGCTGAGCCTGGAGAGGAGTGTACAGTTCCTGTGGGATCTGTTACTGGTGGCTGCCACATCCCATCACTGAACTGTTGTGCACTGGTGAGTGCTCTGTGCCTTAAAACGTGAAGCAGAGATGGTCTGGGTGTTGAGACTTTGATATCATTCTTAATAAAACACACAAAAGGAAACCAAGGTCCCATATTCTGCAAGTGAACTGCTTGTTCTTTATCTTCCAGGCTCTTTGAGGACGAGGACTTCTTCAAAACAGCATCTCTTAAATCACCAAAGCCTCGAGTTCCCTCCGAAGAGGAGGATGAGGAGGAAGTGGTACGTGTTTCTCTCCACTCCCACTGAACTGACTCAAGCATTAACCTGCAGTTTATCTGTGGAGGCTGATTGGCCCCTGCTGGCTGAGGTTGGAGCTTCCCAGAGATTCTCTGTATAAATTCAGCTTCTGGGTTTGTTTCTCACTGCAATTGGAGGTGTTGCACAGGCTGGAATGGTGACAACAAACTCTTGCTTGCATTAGGCGTTAGGAGAAGGTCATGGGTTAAATAAGGGGGGTTTGTTTTCCTACTCCCTCGTGGCTCTTGAGCTCTAAGCATCTTTCCTGAAAGATTAAGCCATCGTATGACAAGCATAAATACCATCAATAATGATGCTGCTTATTTATCGTCTCCTAAAAGCTGATGCAGATTTCTGATCAGAGCTCTGTGGCAGTTACTGAATACTGGGAAGCTGGTAAGGCTGACAGGTTTCCCTCTGCTTTGATTTCCAGAGCATGAAGGGTCACCCTCCTCCTGCTCCACTCTTTGGTGATGACGATGATGATGATCTGGACTGGCTGGGATGAAGAGCTGCCTGCTGAGCCTGTGAGGCCTCCTGTGGGCACGGCCACTCCCTGTGCACATAGCACTTAATGAGCTGCATTTGTGGGACAGCTGTGAACAACCAAGGACTCCTCGGGCTCTTCTGCAGACCTGACAGGGCCTGAGAGCAGGAGTCTCCCTTTGCACTCTCGGGCACTCAGACCCGCTGTTCTGAACTGACAGACATGCACAGAGGTTGGGATGAGCTGGAGGAACCGACCGGTCTCACTGCGTGTTTGTATTGCTGTCCTTCTGTGTGAACCATTGATTGATTAATCAGAAACTTTATGCAAATTTGAACTACATAAAGTGCTTCAGAAGAACAAGTCTGGCAGGACCCTGCGGTAGGTAACTACTTTTATAGAAGACAGACTAAAAGTGAAGATCTCTTGGCAATGATTCTGTCTGCTGCAGCCAGCCCAGCCTCTCTCCTGTGCCTTTTGCTCTGTTGCTGTGATGAATGCAGCACGAGTGAATGGAATGGAGGCCGGGTGTGCTGTAATGCAGCCTCAGCTGGGCTCTGCTGGGAGCCAGGAGTGCAGTTCAGCTGCTCAGTGTGAGTGGAGCGAGGAAAGAGGGCAAGGAGGAGAGGCAGCTGTGCAGAGGAGTTGGATTTTGGATTTCTCGTGGCACTTCTGTTCTACACTTAAAGCAACTTAGAAGGAAGGAACAGTAGATAGTGTTGTTAAAACAAGTAACATGCAGACCCCTGTTCCATTAATAAGATGGAAGTTACTAGAGTAATTCCACCACGGAATTTGGCCTATGCCATCTTCTCTGGGGAGAAAAGAAGTGTCTGTGTGCAGCCATCTGTCAGCTCCCTGCCCCTGTCCAGTGCTCTGTATGGCAAAGGGCCAAAAGCAGCTGAAACTGGGGAGGAGACCAAAGTCTGTGGAGCAGCCAAGTAGCTGCTGGGGCCGTGCTGCTGTCATAGGGTGAGTGTGGCTGAGGTTTCCTAACAGCTGCTCCAGACATCAAAGAATTGAATCGTATCTCAGTGCTGAAGGTTGATGGCGTCTGAGTGCACAAACCCTGGTGTGCTCCAGCCTCCCTGCTGCAGCAGTGCCCTGTGCAGGTTGCAACTAACACATTCCACTCCTTGTTTCCTGTTACAGGTAGCCTGAAGGACTTGCATTTCATTTCTTGATAAATAAAGTGCAATTAAACCTGTCTTTTCTGCCTGTGGGTGGCTTTACTGCTGTCTAGTTGCATGCACTTAAAAACCAAGCTGCCTCTTAAACTAGGAGAAAAATGATCTAGAAACGCTTCTAGGAGGACATGATGGGATGTACCCCGTGGCTGCAAAGGGAAAAATGACTGGAGACGGCTCTGGACCAGTGTGCATCTTTAATATCTCATCCTTTCCCCACTGCCCTTCCCCAGCTGCCACGTCCCTGTGTCCCTCTACAGGGGCCTTGGCTCTGCTCTGAAAAAGCACAGAAAGTTGCTTTTTGACAACATTTCACCAATGGCAAAACAGCACAGACCTTCCCCCTCCCATCTCGTGTGGCCCTCAGGACCGGCTGGGACGGGCGATGCCCATCTCTGACCCCTGAAGTGCACCAAGGTGCTGCAGATCGCTGTGCATTGCCGTCAGAACCCTGCAGGCTGGGCACAGCCACAGCCCCTGCTGCCCTTCTCCTGGATGCCAGGTGTGAATGCAGCCCAAGGAATGCTGCAGGGCGTTGTGACTCCTGCTGCCGGGATGGCTGGAGGCTCCAGGAAAGTCGTAAATGCAGCGTGAGCACAGCCGGCTCCCAGGGGGTGAAGGAAAGCACTGAAAGCAGTTAATTTTTAGTAGTCTGATGCCCTGGGGTCCATGTCGGTGCAGCAAGGCCACGGCTGAGTGCGCTTCAGCTGCCACAGCATGGGGCTGATCCTGTAGGAAGCAGAGCCCCTGTCCTGTCCCCACCTCACTGCGATCCGATGACTGAGCCCGAATTCCTGACCCAGCTGCTGCCTGGAGGCGAGACGGGCTCCAACAGCGGATGGTGGGGTCCGCAGTGCCGGCCCTGAGCCTTCCGTGCTACTTGAGGAAGACGAGCAAGAAGAAGGTGGCGACGATAAGGATGAGGATGCCGGCGGCGAAGCCGAGGCGCAGATTCTCCACGGAGGTGAGGGGCGGCTGTGAGTCCAGCAGCAGCCCCCTTCCCGGCAGCCCCAGCACGAAGGCTCCCGGCGCCTCGGGGCCACGGCGAAGGCTGCAGGGGGCCACCATGCTGCTCACCGTAAAGATGGGAGCGTGGGATGCGCAGGCCACCTCTATGGCCATGGAGTGCCTCGAGGCCCGACGGGCACCTCTGCCTTCATCGTCTTCCTCCTCCTCCCCGGCTGTGAGCTGGGGGCGGTGCGGGGTCCCCGGGATCGGCGTCAACCCACGGCCTCCTGGGGCCATCTCGGGCACCAGCGTCACCATCCTGCAGAAGGGGCAGCTGATGAAGGCAACGGTGGCGGCGCGGCACACCAGCTTGCGCAGGCAGTTCTGGCAGAGGGAGTGGCTGCAGGGCAGCTGTTGGGGCGCCCGGACGCCCCGGTACGCCTCATAGCAGATCCCGCACTCCCCGCCGGTCTCCGGCCCCGCCGCCATGCCGCTCCCGGGCAGCGCCACGCCGCTCTCGTGCTTTTGAAGGCTGGAGGCGGCTGGTGGCCGTGCCCTGGAAGGCGGAGACTGAACTTCAGCCCGGCCCCGGGGTGCCCGGCGGCGCCGGCCCGGCTCCTCCTCCACTGCCCGGGGCTGCCGTGGAGCTCCGGGTGCCCCAGTGGCCCCGAAAGCAGGAGACAGAGCCAGCCTTCCCACCAGAGGTGCGTAATGGAGGGGTGACCAACCCCAGTGCGTGACCACGTGAGAAGTTATCTGCCCACGGTCCATGAAACAAAATGCTTTTTCCTTCTTTTCCTTTACAGAGCCCCGATATTCGAAAGTATTCCTTAAGCACAACGCGTTGGTCTTGTTTTTTTGTTTTACAACGAGCTCACCGAGCCCTGCGTGCCCAGCTGTCAGCGCTCAGCATCACATCGCCCTTAACCTGAGTCGGTCGCAGCGCCAGCTGCTGCCCGGCTGCCACTGCGTCCCCCTGTGCAGCCGAGCAGAGCTGGCCCTGGGGTTGAGAGGCAGCCCGGCCCTGCCCGCTCCTCCTGCCCCGGGCTTTCTTGGCACAGTGCGTTATGGGCAGGCAGCGGACCTTGCCCGAGGGCTCGTCACTCATTACCACCACCTTGGGAGCACCGGAGTCAGCCGGCAGCCGCTGGCAACTCAGTGAGAGCAGCTGTGATGCACTCCTCCCTGCGGGGCCCTGGTAACACGAGAGCAGCGCTGTGAGCTGCCGGCCTTCCTGCCGCCCCGCCAGCCGGCACCCCACTGCTCCCCATCCCCACGAGATGCCGAGCACCTCCACGCCATGCCAGGCGAGGGGGACGCCAGGCTGAGCCCCTCTGCGCTGCGTCCCCAAGGCTCCGGAAGGGACCTGCCCGTTCCCTGCGGTCGCAGCTCCGTGCAAACAGAGGCGCAGTCTTGGCGCTGCCCCAGACGCAGTGAGCCCTTCAGGGCTCTCACACCGCTGCTTTCCTGCAGCGCCCGGCCCCGTGCCAGCCCCCAATTCCGGGCTGCGGTACCGCATGGATGCTCCGCCAGGGCACAGTAAACAGAACACGACGGAAGCAGAGGTCCCTGAGGTCTCCAGCTGTCTGGAAGTCATCAGTGCTGCATCCAAATTTTTCCGCGTCTTTATCTGGGCCGGGAGGAGGCGCTACTGCGACTGCGAGACAAGGGGCAATAAAAAGGGATCGAACCAGCCAAAACCAGCTGTATTTAATAGTTTCTCCTGGGGGAAAGGGCTGCAGCAGGACCAGACTTATCTCTGTGTTTTATACTTGAGGTCAAGAGACTAAAAGCCCCACCGGGATCGTTACTTATTAATGACAATGGGGAACAACCCAGATGCCAACACACGTACACAAGGAAGAGCTGGAACTCTGTGGCAGGAACATTTCCCCCAGACAGCACGTCTCAACAAGGAATGTCTTCTAGTCAGAGCTGTCCCTCGAGCACTGGTTGTGAGGCTGCTGCAGATGCTGCTCTTCAGTGGGATTGACAGTGAGGGATGGGAAGCACCTCGCTCTGCCCTGCCTCCTGCTGCAGCCCCCAGCCATGCTGCCACTGATTGCATGAGCCCATGCAATTGCATGTTGCCCATGGCAACAACACACGAGCAAAGCACTCTCAGCCTCCCAGAACGTTAACAAGGCAGGATGCCTCTCCTGGAGGAGAATTCACCACAGCAGAAGAATGGCAAATGCCATGGCCATAATAGAGCAGCTGCAGGGTCCCAGTGGCTTCAGAAGCAATGGCTCTAACTGCGTCCCTGCTGAGCAACAGGCAATTCCAATGGCAAATATATAGCCAGAGAGGAGGAGCACCACTACATCCAATGCCATCACCCAGTGCTCCCAGGCTGGACAAACAAGCTGGATGGTGGATGCAGATGAAGAACCCAAGCCAAAGGCTGGAAAGCCACCAGGAAGGTGGAGGGCTGCTGAGAGCCCTGGGTGCAGCCTGCAGCCAGCCAGAGCCATGTGCAGGGAGAGGGCAGCGCTGGTCATGTGAGAGCGTATTTAATACTGATAGAGGAGCCCTGCCCTGGGACGGAGTGATGAGGGCAGTGCTGGGCAGCCATGCCTCCCTCCAGCCTGCCTAGCTGCTGTAGAAGATGCGGACCTGCTGTGTGATGTCCCCGCGGCACAGGGGACAGCTCTGTAGCCGTTTGCAGCAGGTCTGGCAGCAGCACACATGGCCACAAGGCAGGAAAATCATCTGGGCCTGTGGAAAGAGAGAGAAGACATGAACAGTGCTGTTGTACCATAATCTCAGCACCACCACACTTAGACAAAATACAGGAGGAAGCTGGAGATGATGGGCAACACCTACAGCTTTCAGAGTGGTGGACAGTGCCAGCACCCTGAGCCCCTGCACTGTGCAAAGAATGCGCAGTGAAACAGACCTGAGGAAGAGCACTGCCCAGTGCCACATCCCAGCCGGCCCTCACTCACCCCTGCTCTAACAGCACACACGCTGGGCTCTCACCTCCTGCTCCATGCAGACAACGCACTCTGGCTTCTTCTCATCCCACTGCAGCAGGGGAGCAGTGGGGACCACAGAACTCGGGGCCTCCTCCTCAGGGGCACTGGGTTGTGTGGCTGCAGGGACCTTGGCGTCCACCTCCTCAGCAGCTCTGCAAGCACAAACAGAGGTCTGAGCTCGCGGAGAGCTTCCATCTCCCACCCACTCAGGAGCAGCTGCATGCCCACGGGAGCTCAGTGCTCTGAGAGTCAATGGTGACAATGCAGCAGAATGCCTCTCCCACAGGCACACAAACCTCCATCAGCTCTACGCCCCACAGGCAGGCATCTGGCCCTGCAGATCTCCCCACTCAAGGCTCAGGTACCCACTGCTACCACACGACACGTCAAGGAGCAGGCAGAAAAGAACTGCTGGTACCTGGGATTGTCTTTGCCACAGCCAGGATCTCCTGCGCCCGTCTGAGGATGGCACGCTGCAGGCCAGTCTCTGCAATGCCCATCTGCAGTGCAAAAGGGGGGTTGTCAGCACTCAGATGAGAAAGCACAGAAGGGGCTGAGAATGGAGACACCTCCAAGAGAACAACACAAACTCTTTGGCCAGACTGGCAAGACCTGTTCACATCAAGGGGAGAATCTCCATCAGGCATCAAAGCTGGAATAAAGGAATTCGCACGTGCCTCTGTTGAGCTACAAAGTGCATGTGAGGGACTGAAAGGCAGAGCTGAGCTACAGCTCACTCTGCAGGTGCTCTAGAAAATCTGTCACCTGCTTGGTCAAGGCACAGTGTAGCATCAGCACCTCCCCCTGCACAGATGTGGCACACCAGGAGCACCAACACTCCATCCTGCAAGATCTGCAGTGGGCACAACCACGTGCACGGCTCGGCAGGGTCAGACACAGAGCAGCGTTGGCCTGTACTGCTTGTCTGCTGCCTCGTACCTTTTCCAGGTCACTGGCAGTCATGGTGCTGAGCACTTCCAAGGAAATTCGATGGTGTGCAAAGACAGGCACATACTGTTCAGCTGACAGCTCGATTAAAAGGTTCACCAGCTGCTTCTCCAAGCCCTCCTCCTGCAAAACACAAGGCGAGCTCTCAGACTTCGCTCTGGAGAAAAGGTGTGGGGCACACAGCTGCCTGACCATGCATGGCAGCAAGGATAGGCAATGCACATAGTTCTGCTCTCAGGAACAAGGCCATTCTAGAAGCATTTTGCTTCCATGAACACACTAAAAAGCCCAACAGCCAAAGGAGCTCCGGCCGCAAATACTTTATGAGCGAAATTCAGAACACCTTGGTTTTGGAAGAATGAAACACAGCAATTTTGGCAGCTGATGTCTGCAGCATCACCTGCTCTGCCAACCTGAGCTGACACACAGCAGGGCTGGAGCTCAGAGCAATCTCTCTGGGGCTGCCCTGCACCTGTTTTCACAGCACAAAGTCCCTGGCTCAGTACTGTAAAGCACCAGGCAGCCAAGCGGAGCTGTTCAGAGGTTTGGCTGGAACAAAGTGTTCCTTCCTCTGCAGCTGTCAAGCAGAGCATTTTGTTAGTGTGCACACTACAGTGGAAGCAGTAAATGCAGCAGCAACTTGGAGTTTCAGGGAGAGTGACTTCTGGTTCAGCAGGCGCTGGTACTGGATCAGCCAGTAGTTCTCCTGTTTGGTTTCACTCTTTGCTTCCATTTCCAACTGAAAAACAAACTCATTCACTCAACAACCCGAGATAATGCAGTAAGTGCAATTTAGAGCAGCCTGAATTGTGTGTGTAAGGGGAAATCAGCAGCCTGGCTGTGTAGGGCTGGCTCAGAGAACTTCCAGGCTGGTCCCACTTTGATCCCCACATCCCACACCCTCTGCATCCCTCTGCTCATTGTGCCCTATGTACTAAAGCCCAGCCTTTTGAAGCTCAGGACAGTCTAGAGGTCTTCAGAATTACAAGGCCACATGCAGACACCCAGTAGGATCATGCTGATTCTTTCCTGTGATTTCCCCAGAAATGGGAAAGATCATCCCCAGATGGGGGAAGCAGGGGACATTTCAGATACCAGGGCCTCACACTGCACCAGGGACCGGAGGTAACCATGCCCCAAGAACTTCCATCAGCACTTTCTGAAGTCTGAGTCTGGACACCACCACTCAGAGCCCCTCCCTGCTCTTCTTTATCCCTATGCTGACCCATGGATACTCTCCGTGCTCTTCGTGCTTACAAAGGCTTGTGCTTTGTGCTCATCTACAGCCCAGAATTACGGGCCTTCGTTACCAGTATTTGTTGCAATTCTTCTTCCCTTTGCTTCTTTTCTTTGAGCAGCTGCTGCAGCAGGTAACCAAGTGCTTGGCGTTGCTCCATGACCACCCCCTGCAACAGAAGGACTCTGGCATCCATTTCTCAGGTCTGCAGGAAACCCCTGCCCCATTTCCAGCAAAGCACTTACCATATATCCAGAACTGTCAGAGCAAATGTTAGAGTCCTATGCTGCATGGGCCCCACAGCACAGCTGAGCAGATGGCCTCAATCCTCCCTTTGGCATGGCACGCCTGTTTCTTTTGGTCCTGCACTGACCATTCACCAGTGGTGCCAATCCTCAGCACACACCGAGCAGCCCCAGGCTGTGCCGGCCTGCAGCAGCTCTTCATCACTGCACTAAAAGTTCATTCAGTGGCATCAGAAGTGTTTGTGGTCCTCCTTAATGGAGGATCACCTGAAACTACATCTAGGAGCCTACAGACATGCAAAGGAGCAACAGACAGCAGCTGTGGATACCTGATCAGCACTGGTCTCTCCCAAACCAACCTTGCAAAAAATAACACCTCCCTTTCTCAGGGTTTTTTTTGTTATTCTTCCTGCTTTCCTGTGATTCTCCAAGCTCAATACTAAAGCACCTGTATCTTATAGGAGGAGCAACAATCTGCTGCACAAACATGACTGCAGGAATACTTCTGCCAAAGCACTTTGTGGGCACTGCCTGAGCAATAAGGGCTCAACGGCAGCAGGAACTTTTGGGCTGCAGACCATCAAACAGCAGAGGGGATGCAGGCAGATGAAGCTGTCTCCAGTTTGCTCTCCTAGTGTGCAGAAGTGTAGCTGCAAACACATTGTGCCCCAACAGCCACACAGATGGGGACTGGAATACATCCTCACTTTCTTGGGCTGACTAAAGAGGTGACCCAAACTGGGAAACTGTGCACACAAGGCAAAAACTGATGCAAAGGTGTATCAACAAAATTTAAAGCCAAGCTGCTTAAGCCAAATGTGAGATTTCTCAGTGTGTGACTGCTGATGGAGTCAACCCATTGAATGGTGGGATGGTGGGGTGGAAGAGCCTAGGAGTCATGGGCTAGAAATGAAGAAGAGCTGGCAGCCACTGTTGTCGGGTATTTAAAACCAAACACAACATGTGAGAAGACATGGGATGCTCAGCAGGGATTTCTGGGACAGCCAACAACTGGATTGAAACATCCTTCCACACACAGCAAGCCTACAGCTGCCCACTTCTAAGGAGGCCAGGTTACTTGTCTCTTTCCTGCCATTCATCAGGAAGTTTAAAAGCAGCAGCAGCGTTTCCATATCACCATGACAAAGAGGTTTTTGTTGTGTTAAGTACCTTCTGATTAAGCACAAAACCACCAGGAAACTGCAAGAAGCCAAAGAAGCAAGTGAAACTTTCGCAATCTCAGAGCAGAGAGAGGGTGGTGGGGCAGTCCCAGGGCCCTACATACCTGCAGCGTCTCTGTGTCCAGTTCTTGCCTCTTTAACTCCAGCTGTGTCAGCTGCAATAACTCTGTTTCTATTAATTTAATCTAAACAGAAGATGAAACATTTTTTTACTGACATTTGAAATGATTTTAATTTACACTCTTTCAAAATGAGGTCTAACTACTGGCCTTGGAAGGACAACACTGCAGAGCTGCCCATAAGCTTGGGAACGTTGGTGCCCTACCACGACACGTGCTCTGCGGCTGCTCTTTGTCTCATGCCTGAAGAACTGCCTCCCACTCTCTGCACTGAACACCTTCTGTTCCAGACCAGAAGCACAGCGCAATCAGCCAAATCCTGCAGCCACTCTGGAAAGCAGCTGTTATCAAAATCCTCTCAGCACCAGTGTTCAAACTGCAGATGGACTGGGGGCTCTGTCATGGATCCCAGCTGCTTCAGCAATTCCCATCACGATACATGCTCTTTCAGTCAGGGTAACTGAGACACAGAGAGGTGAAATGAGCTGCCCAAGATCCCACAGCAAGCCAAGAAGAGAGCCCATCTCCCCTGCCAGCCCAACTACCTGTACCTGTTCATCCCAGGCCATTCTGCTTTCTGTGTGCCACCTACCACCAAATTCCTGCTGACAGAGGCTTTGTGCAGGCTGCACCTACAGGATGCTGGTGGGATGGGTTTCAATAGCAAAAGGCCCAGCCTATGGTATCAAGAAACAAACTCCCTTTGTTTACAAAGCAAGAGCAAGCAAACTGCCGGGCTCTTACTGATCTCAGGCAATGGAAGGCTGTTAGATTCATCTTCTGGATTGTCTGTGCAAAATCCATAGGTTTTAAGCACAGTGCAAAGATTGGTCACCAAGTGACTGAATATATCAAAGCCTTGGAGCTTATCTACCAGCTCCAGACCTGAGACTTTTCTCCTAGTGTCAGATCAAGAGAGGGAAGCAACTGGAATGCTGTATCAGAAAGCAGCTACCCACCTCCACACATCAATCACTGCTACCTCCCCAGCAGCTCTTGCTCTTTCCCTGACTATTTTGTTTCACCTTTTGCAGAATGTTGCTCAGAAAGGCAGGCTGAGAATGGGAAAGAAAAAGTGAACTTATGGCTCAAGGCGCAGTTACAGTGTGCTAGATGGAGATGCAGTGACTCGTGGAAACAACAGCCCTACCAAGGAAACCTGAAGGAAAATGGTAATTGCAATTGCAGACCACCCCTACAGAGCCAATGCAGGTCTGTCTTCTACTGACCACTCTCCAGCATCTCATCCAGAGCAGTTTTGAGATGACCAAAGCAATGGCAATCCTACTAACTCCACAAATGTAAAATCTGTCTCTATACTCTCTCCTATGGTACTGGGAGACTGTGGTTTATCACACACTGCACAAAGCTTTGTTACAGAGCTCTCAGCAATACAAGAGCTCTCCATTTCCTTCCTGCTCTGTGCTCACAGCACTTTGATCTTCCTCATAAGGGTCTCAGCAAATGATGAGGAGCTGGTTGCTCTTTCCTCTACTGCTGACTCACCTGGTTCCTGATCTGCCTGTGCATAAGATCCTTCTTCACTTGGAGAGCTTCAAAGGCAGCTTTCTGCATCTCACTCTAAGGGACAGACAACTTTCTGCTCAGTGCAGGTTGTTCATGCAGATGTGAACAGCCTGAAGAAACCCTGCTGCCTTGCAGTGGCTCAAGTACAAAGGAACAGTGCTAACTCTGCATGAACAGTGCTCACATTACCATATGGCATAGATCTCACCAGAAGGTAAAGATCTCTGACCAGAGGGTAAAACCCTCCTTACAGAATGACAGAAGTTACAGTCATGCTCTACATACACACACGTTGAGCGCTGTGTATGAACCCCACCCCCCACTTTCAGCAGCACTGAGCACCCAGGCTGCCAGGTCTGTGCAACAAGGCATGACTTCCCAGCACTTCTAAAAAATGAGCTGAGGAGGTCTCAAAATGAGGTATTCAAAAGCAGAAGATGCTTAGAAAATGCATCCCAAAGGCATCCAGACAGCTTGTCCAAAGTCACCCAAGAAGCCTGCCAAAAAGACAGGACTTGTCAAAACTCTCTCAAATCTTAAAATCCTCTGTATTAATCATCACACCACTTTTGCTTCCCATGGTCTGTGCTGCTGTCCTTTATGAGAAGTTGCTGTCTAGTTAAAGTATAAACACATTTTTCTCTCAGATACCAAAGCCAGCTTGTTAGAACACCGGTCTCCAAGTTAAACCAGTAGTGTTCTATAAAACAACTCTTGCAAACAGCCCAACCCTGCAACCACTGCTCCCATACCTGTCACTCTCAACTCTGCTTTTGAATCCTACTGCCTTTCTTCAGTCTCTCCCTGCATGCAATTTGCTCTCTTGCCTACCTGCTGCAAGATCTGACTAACAGCTTTGTTCTGATCCATCTGTTGCCAAACCAGGATTTGCTGGAACTTCTGATCCATCTCAGCCAGGCTGCAAGAAAATATATTTGTCAAGGAGTTACTGAAAATCCAAATAGGGGCCGTGGTTGCCCCAGCAAGCTGCCCAGGTGATGAATTTGCACATCAGTGTTCTGCACTGGAAAACCTGTGCTGATGAAGGTCCAGACAGCAGGGTCAGATATTGCCTGCACTTGCAGGCAGGACTGTGTCTACCCACTGCCCTCTGTTGGGCAGAGCACGGGTGCACAATGTTAATTCTGTCTGTCAGACACCTCCAGATTAAATTTCTCACATCCTTGTAAATAGAAAGAGCTAGAATTTTCTTCATTTATAGCAGTGTGCTACACGAACACAAACTGTGCCCACATAATCCTTACAGTCCAGAGGATTTTTAACATTCTGTGCCTCCTTCACATATTACAAAATGTGAAGTTTTCAACTGTTCTGTTGTAACACTGCTCGATTCCACCTGGCTCATCACTGCTCAATTTCACTGCTCAGAGATGGAAATTTTCACACTGGCTCCTGGAGTGACACATCCCAGCTTGCATGTCACAAGGTCTCATAGCTCTGTGGGCAATAAAGTCCACAAGTTCCATTTTTTCCTCCTAATTTCTCAGCTTGCTTCACTTCCCCAAAGACCCTGCAAGAAGGACCACATCTGAGAACAGAGCCTTGCTTCTAAGAAACAGAATGTGGCTGTAAACAACCATGAAGAACCTCAGCCTGCTCTGTAATTTGTCCAGCAGAATTATGAAAATTCCACAAGAGTGCAACAAATGAAAGGCTACAGCTTCCACTAGGAGAAGTTCTGCACCATAATTATTATCTGCTCCATTAGGAGCTTTTTTAATACGATGGAAAAATAAACGTAATCCTCTAGACAGTCCTAGGAGGCTCTGAGCTACACTTTGACACTGACTTACCAAATAACAAAAAGATCAGTCTAATTTCACCCTCCATACTTGCAGGATGTATAAGGCAGAATAAATGGTATAAACGTGACAGGTGCAAAGCATGATTAACATTTCATGTTCTCGTGGTTAGAAGGTGGTTCATTTAACCACGCTTCTTTGCACTGTCACCTGGTTCACACAGAGCTGTTCTGCTGCCATCCAGCAGCTGCAGAAACTCCTGGCCCTTTACATGGGAATCACACCAGGGAGTGCTGGCAAGCAAGGAACTTTACAACAACAGCATCTCCAGCCCCAGAGATCTCCCAGCATACCTGGAGCAGGCCTGGCTGACAAGGTCTTGGCACCGAGATTCATAGGTCATTTGGATGAGCTTGTTCTTGTAGCTCTCAGCCAGCATTTGTTGCATGGCAGCTAGGAGACAGAAGTGCTGTCAGTCTGTATCAGGAGCTCCTCTCTGGAAGAGACACTGATCTGCCACTGTTGCTAGAATAACTTGCAATTAATAGTGCCTTTTCTCTCATTTCAACCTGTTCTCATTGTTCCCATCTCATTCATTTATGAGGAGATGCATTCAGCTGCAAGAATTGTGGCTATTTACTAGAAAATCACACAAACAAATCCTACTCTGCTTGCATCTCTTCAGTATTTGGAGAAGCAAAATCAGTGCTTTAGGCTACAGCCCTGTCTGCACTGCTGTGAACCATCCACTCCCGGGGTGACAACACACACATCATTTCCATTGTAACCCCAACAGATCCATTCATGCTCACAATGAGCAGAAATGGTTCCCTTGTGGCATTGTTGCTTACCTCCTAATATGCTTCCCACCTCACAAACCTGATCAGTCAACATCTGCTTGGTACCTCTAAAGTAGAAAGTACTTTGTGCACACAGGATGCCTTACAATCAGTTTCAGACTCCTTGTGCAACACACTCCAGCTACATCAGGGGCACAGCTCTGACACAGCTCTCACACCTAAGAATTAGCAGTGAGTTGCAGGTGGGAGCACTGATCAGCCATGGTATGTGTACAGTGCTGCCCACTTCCAGTCTGCTCTATGCATGAGGCAACAAACAGCAAGAACGTGAGTAGCAGAGCATCTCCCACACAGCAATCATCTTTCAGGGCATCTCCAAAGGAACCAGGTCTTTCCAGTAACCTACTATCCCAGTCATTTGGACTTACAGGCCACTTCCCTCCTGCACAGATGCTCTGTCTCCTCCTGTTTGATTACCATCAGCTGTTCCATCCTTATTCTAGCAAGCAAACAAGAATAATTCAGCCACTCATTCAAAGAAGCACTACCTCACTCCTCTCCTGCTCACTCAGCTCAGAACCCAAGGCTGGGCAGATTCAGCAAGCAACCTGTACAAGAAAGCCATGTGCTCACCAGAGACTCAAAAGTCGCAGCGATTTCTTGGAAAGGGTATCTAAGTCTATTGAAAAATAAAATTTTCCTCAAAACCATGGGAACAACTGCTTCTTACAATGGAAAGTTCATCCCAGAAGACCTAACAAGGATCTGGGAAACAGGCTTCCTTCCCTTGAGGCTTGAGGAGCACTTTAAAGCTGACTGCAGCGAGCACTGCCGCTATAAGCAGGAGCCTCGCCTCTCTCCCGCTTCCCTGTCCTTGTCTCAGCATAATTACACACACCACCACTTAACCTTCTGGGAAATGGTTTGACATAAAAACTATCTGCCATACAAAGAGAATATTTTTCAGCCAGGTCAGTTTACTCTGTCACAGCACAAACACCTCATGGAAGCAGGGGGCAATATAAAAGTAGAGGAGAGTTGCAGAAAACCAATTTTAGGGGCAAAGCCAGATCAAAGTGTTGGCTGAATGGCAGCATTGAGTTTGGTGTATTCCTCCCCTACACATTACTGGACCACTTCTATAAGTGCTTTGATTTCCAACAGATTTCTCTTGGCCCTTGATAGTAGAATACAGGGTTTTGTTCCCAAACTCCTTAGCTAGGACCATTCTGAGATGAAAAGTAGGTGCAATCACCAGCCCACAGGGTCTGCCAGACTGGGTAAAACCAAGCACATCTATCTTGCTTCCAAGTGACCAGAATCAGCTGCTGCAGGCAAAGCAGCAGGAAACCTTTCAGTCAGCAAATAAGAGAATGACCCCTCTGACTTCACATGGATTCAAACTGGGGGCTCTGAATTGAGGGTCTCAAAACTCTTCCTTGACCGTTTTCCCAAAAAATTAATTTCAAGGTTACTCACCTCTCATTCTCCAAGGATTTCAGAATGTCTGAACTTTGTTTTTGCCTAAATAAAGATATAACAAAAGGTTTTCATAAGGCTAAGCAGCACATCTTACTCCCCCAGTAAGCAGAAAACAACTTTGCTTCTCACACACAGAACATCAGACTTTAGCAGGTGTGTAACCTTGCACCAGCTCTACATGAGATCCAGCAGACCCAGACCAGTGCTCAAATATGCACCTTCCAGAAGGAGCACTAAAGAGGAACACTAAGCACTGCTGTTCAAATATGTAACTTCCATGAGGAATTCAAATTTTTCCACAGCACCACAAAACTTCAAAAGCACAGATGTGCGAAATATTCTTCTGAGGTGCCAAATTCCACTTCATTTAAGTGGGATTTTGGCAGTTCAGCAACTAACACTCCATCCACAGACACTGATCCTGTTCTGCTAGAAGTGGCAGCTGGGAAAGTGGTATCTTCATTTGCAAATCTATGAGCACATACTTGAGTGCAGACAAACTCAATGTAGCTAATGCACATGAGAAGGGAAGAAACAACCATGTCCACAGCCAGGACAGCACAGGAGTCTGTACAATTCCACTGCCTCTGTCTGTACAGCACAGGCTTGCAGGGACAGTTTAGCTCTAATCAAGCCTGCAGGCCTTTTGGGGAGCTCTGTCCAAAGGCTGCATGCTGGACAGGGACCACAGCAGCAACATGCACTCCATTTCTGACCAGCTCTGTTAAAACTCAGAGAGGCCAAAATGGACAACTCAGAGCCCCCACGAGCTCCCAGTGGACAGAGCTCACTGCAGAATGTCCTGTGACTGCCTCACCTCTGATTGTCCTCTATCAGCTTCTGGATACAGCTGGCAATGCCTTGCTCTGCTTGCTTCGGCTGCTGCTGAGTTTCAGGCGCTCCTCCTCCAAATGGCGCTGGTGCTTTGTCAGGCCCTCCTCCAACCTCATCTGATCCTAGGCCAAGGTAAAAGAACCAAAGGAGAACACGGTCAGTTTAGGAAACGTAGTATCTTGTACTGGGCCAGATCATGGAGGGTTTGGTTGCAGTGCCCCAGGCAGCTCTGGGGAGATGTTATGAGAAGGAGATTAGATCCTTCATCCTTCATCAGATGGGCCAGCCTAAACACAAAGGAAAAGAAGAATCACTCCAAGGTGCTTCCAAGGAGATGCTGAGAATCTGTGAAGTCAAGCAATTATGTATGGGAAAGATGTTAAAAAAAAAAAAAACGGCTCCAATTTGTACAATCAAAATGACTGTTACAGCATGCCTAATGACCCCAAGGGAGAAAGCAGAAGCAAAACACTGAGGGCAGTGAATGAGCTGCTGTCTCTAGAAGGAAAGTTTCTGCTCACGTGGACACTCGAAACACCTCTCTGTCTGTGGCAGCAGGCACAGCCCTAGCTCAGCAAATGAGCAGGGATTAGAGCTCCTGCCCAGAAGAGACCTACCTCTCTTACTGTCTGCAGTATCTCGTCCTTCTGATTGTTGATCTGCTGCACAAGCAGTGCATGTTCTCTTTGCCCCGTGTTCAAGTGCCGCTCAAATTCAAGCTTCTCCTGCATTTTTTTTTCCTGAGAAGAAAGAGGAATGCCAGGAATCAGCAGAGTTGGCTCCGCTCCTTCTCAAATAAGAACAAATTCTGGCAATGCAAAACAAGGCACATTAATCCCCACAGCTACAAGCGAGAAAGCCAAAAGGCTTTGACTAGCCAGGAGGCTTTACTAGGGGATGGAAACGTTCTGTCCCTAGGAAACCAAAAATTGTGAGGCACAAGTTGCTGTTCTCTTTATGACAGTTTCCCAACTCCTTGCAATTCCTTTCATAGTCACAAAGCCAACACTTCAAGGCATCAACTCATACAACAGAAACACAGGGAACTTCTGCTTCAAGCCAATACAAACACTCAACGCTAGGAGTGGAATCCAAAATTAAGGTTGTGTTCAGCTCCAAATGGCAAGGGCACTCTTGTCTGAGGACAACTGAGTGAAGGGAAGCAGCCAGCCAAGAGGTCTAGGCAAAGGGACAAAGTAAGCTTGACAGGAACTTATGTGAGAAAAACGGATTGTGTGTGTGTGTGTGTGTGTGTGTGTGTGTGTGTTGCCTCTACACAGAGCTCAGTATGGCTGTGCCCTGCATCTGCCCACCTCATGTGAAAAGTAACTGAGTGTTCAGCACAGAGAGGCAAGCAAGAAGCTTTCTGGTGTAAAAGCTTCCAGATCCAACTCTGCAGACAAGGACTAACTTAAACTGGAAGTGATCACTCGTGAGAGACTCTGCACTCATCAGCAGTATGTGTCAGACAGTACAGTCTGCCATTTCCCCATGCTCCCACTTGTGCTCTGCAGTGAGGAGTGAGTGTGTTTTGAGGATGTTCTGCAAGGTCAACATTCAGCTTTGGTTGAAAAAAATAGAAAACAAGAAATAGAGGTGGTCCCATTCTCCAGACAAAGCACTTGCAGGGGTTCATCCTTACCTTCCTCTTCTCGTAGTCTGAGAATTTATTCTGAAAAAGAAAAGAATCAGGAGATATTTACTTCTAGGAGCAGTTTTTTATAGATATCATTAGCCCACATTATCTGTTTCCCTATACGGGTAAACATGTCAACCAAATGCACATTAAGATTCACATATCCCCAAAGTCCAGTCATCCATCCAAGGCCAAAGAAATGTACTCTGTAACTGTAAAACAGAGAATTGACAGAACGTGTCATAATTCCAGGCCTAGCCTCACCTTTCCCAGGTAGGGCTGGGAATGTCCAGCACTTGGCTGTGAATCACTAGGTATTTTCTGCACTGTTGTTTTCAAGATAATGATTTAAACTAATGTATCTCAGAAAATAGCAACTACCATAGAAAAACTGGAGTCAGAAGAGATCTCTGGAAGTCTGTACTCCAACCTACTCACAACAGCACTAATGTCCAAGTCAGGTCAGATTGCTCCTTGTCCCTCCAAGTTATGCAAATCTCCAAGGATGGAGGCAGTTCTCTGCAACATATTTTCTAGGAGTCAGACATGATAACATCATTCCCAGCTGCCCAGGGTCGGAGATGAACCACGCACATCCACAATGCCATGCCTGGTTCTGGTACCGATGCTCCCTTGCTTCAAAATGTCAGGTTTCACTGGGTAGGCAGTGATGAGGAATGATGTGCAAAGTGCTGTGAGATCTGCTGGATCACCTGAGAGACAAATCCAAAACTTGCACACAACTTCACGTGCAGTGGAGCCTCACCTGCCACTTGCTCTCCTCCTCCAAGTATTTGTGCACTGTCCTGTCCACCCCATCCACTGACGTTTCTCCATCACTCTCCAGCGCAGGGAGCACGTACTCTGAAGGTGGATAGTATGCAATTCCACACTCTGGAAGAGATGCAAAACAAGGACATTTGGTGCCTCAAGATCTCCCAGCAGCATGGCTGAAGGATGGAAGTTGAAGCTTACAACTGTGCTCTCTCTCTCCAAGCATAGATGTATAAGAACTAATGCAAGTCTTGGAACGAGAAGCTGTGAGAAGAGATAGTGCCATCCCATTCCCACCAGGAAGATGGTGAAAGCACAGCGTGGAGGGAGGAAGCGGAGAAGCTGAGAGTGCTGCTCCCATTTCTAAAATCACAGGAGAGGACAACCTCCAAAAACAGACTGAGCACTTGTAGCTGGGTTGATGCTCTGCTGGCCAACTCGGAGAGAAAACTCTCGGACATGAATACAGGCGTGTTCATTTCTGTGGGGCTGCAAAAGGTAATTTACTCCCATTCAAATAACTTCTGACAGTCCTTTTCTTTCAAACATTTAACACAATGCACCTCATCTGCATAAAATCTCTGCCAGGCCTTCCTGTTTGTATTGAATATAGTGTTTACAAATTCACAGCCCAGTGTTTTTTCCCTCTGAGATTTCAATCTGTTTTCATATTTCTTTAAGGAAAATATCAGCCCACTGGCCCTTCCCTATAGAAAATGAGGGTAGAGGGGATCTACTGAGTCTATCTCTTTATCCCAAGGCAGCATCAGCTGTATCTGGATGGTTCCAAAACCTCCCATTGGAGAAAATACAAATGGGAAAACAAAAGCACAGAGAGATGCAAGGACTTCACTCAGGAAGTCAGCTGTCCTGAGGTTTTAACAAAAACACTCTACATTTCAGTTTGACAGCGAGAAGCAAACTTCAAGGAAGGAGTCATGTATTGCTATCTGCCAGCCAAGACTTACTGACACATAACAACTTGACCTGCCTGCCCCGTGTGCAGAGCATCAGAAACCACCTGAAACAGAACCACCCTCACGCTTGTCCTTTGTAAATACAGTCTTTGAACAAGCTGTGGCACCTAGTTAGAGCACAGCACAGCCCTGCAAGCTCTCACCACATTCACAGACTCTTCTCACTTACCTTTGCAGAGGAACTGCTGAATGGATTCTGTACCTGCACTGCAAATATCAGGTGATGGGTAGGTCATGGAAGAAGCATCCAGGGTCAGTGTCTCCAAAACAGAACACACAGAGCTCCAAGTTATTGTCACAGCCCAGCCAGAGTCCAACTATTTCAAGCCTGGGACCCAGGAAAATAAACTGCAAGATTTAATTTGTACCCCATAATAACCAAGCCACAGAATCCTGTCTCTCAGCATGTTAATAGTGCTGGTTTTCTTTAGAACTTCATAAAGAAGGTGGAGTAGTGGATGGAATATTTATGTCACCCATATCTAGTTGAATTCTTGAATTTATTACAAGGAAAAATTACTGAAAGGGAAATACATTAAAGGTAGATCACTTTTGCTGCTAATAGAACCAGTTAGGCTTGCAGGTTCCCAAAATTTCACTTGCAGTGTGGTAATTTCATACTACCCTGAAGTCTGCCATAATCACAAGGCTGTACTGTTCTCCTGCTGGATGTCTGACTTCTTTCAGAGGTGCGGTGACCCTGCTGTACCTTATTTAGGAACTTCTGAGCTGGTCCATCAGTACAACATCCACCTCATGTAGACACATGCATTTTGTCTTTAAGGACAAAGCACTTCTCAATTCCAGCCACTGCTGTGTGTTGGAGCCCTTAAACATGATGCATGGGAGGAACGGCAATACCAAGGGTACGGAGCCTCCTGCTGAGAAGCACTTAGCAGGAAGGAAAGGAACCACTTCACCAAACACAAGGGAGCGAGCTGCACAGGTCCCTACTCTCAAAACCTGAGCCTGCCTACAACAGAAGAGAAGCCTAATGTTGAGTCCTCAGGACAGGACAATGTTTATTCCTGCCCTCAGTGCTGGTGTCTGAGTCAGCTCTGTTCCCTGACACTTGCACAGTTTAGTACTGACAAATTTGGCAGCCAGAAAGTAACATCCCCATAAAAATGCTGGTGCTCGTATCATTTTGAATGTGCTCTCCAGGGAGCCAGAAACTGACGGGGGCTGACAATGAGTCAGAGATCTATTAAGGCAACAGAGGCAAAAACGTCATCAGAAGCATTCAATCTGCTCAGGCAGAACCAGCCTGAGTGGAAAGTATGAGTTAAATTGAGCCCATAGACTCAGTTTGGACTCTCAGAAGCAGTCACAGCTGAAAACATTTGGAGGCTTATTCCCTACAGATCAGTTTTGCCGTGATTAAACCTTGGCAAAAAGTGATCAGAAAAGATCAAAGCAGGTGAGCGCGCAAAACTGAATTTAGACACTACGAACCACATTTACCCTACCTACAGTCCCCTACAGCGAGTGCCACCCAAGCCCTAGAAATTTGCTTTTTAAGCTGAATTTATTATCATTGAGCAAGCAGGAAGGACAGCAACCTGCAGCAGAGTAAGCAGGCAGCACAGGCCAGGCAGGCAGGCTGGGTGCATACCTCCAGCACCCTCGGCAGCTCCTGCAGGAGGTTCTCGCTGACATTCAGAGTGCGCAGGCTCCTCAGACCACTCACTGTGGCAGGCAGCTCCCTCAGCTTATTGCCTATGGAGTGAAAAGTCATGTAGTAATACATCGCACTGCTGAAGCAGAAACCAGCAAGCTCATCTACTGGAACACCAATCTGTATTTGTAAAAGCCTTCTGTGAGTTATTTTCTATCCTGTGCTGGAGAAATGGGGTTGTCATGAGGTGTGCTAAGACTGCAAACATTGCATTGCCAACAGAGGTAAATGGGACTCAAGATCTTAGAGCCACTAAGATGATCAGAAGGCTGGAGCTCCTCTCCTATGAAGAAAGGTTGAGGGAACTGGGCTTGTTGAGCTTGGAGAAGAGGAGGCTGCAGGGAGACCTCATTGTGGCCTTCCAGTGCTTGAAGGGAGCAGATAAACAGGAGGGGGAACAGCTGTTTGTGAGGGTGGATGGTGATGGGACAAGGGGAATGGTTTTAAAGTGAGACAGGGGAGGTTGAGGTTGGATATTAGGAGGAAGTTTTTCCCCCAGAGGGTGGTGAGGCACTGGAACAGGTTGCCCAAGGAGGCTGTGGATGCCCCATCCCTGCAGGCATTCAAGGCCAGGCTGGATGTGGCTCTGGGCAGCCTGGGCTGCTGGTTGGCGACCTGCACACAGCAGTGGTTGGAACTGATGAGCACTGTGCTCCTTTGCAACACAGGCCATTCTATGATTCTATGATCTACTTGTACACAACTGAGCTGCACAGACCCAGAAGTGCTTCCACAAGCCAAACCAGCCTTTCTCAGTTGAGGCCACTGCAACAGATTCAATCTGCTCTTCATTAGGACAATATTTGTAATGTGGGATGTTTCTCCCTTCAGTGTAAGTATCAGAAACCAGACAAAAGAAACTGAATGTGGGACGGCAAATTCAGTGCTCAGAGACCCAAAAGCTGAGCTGCACTTCTGGGTGCCTTGCTCTTCATCCTCTTCCCCATTTCAGCAGCAGCTGGTCTGTAACAACTCTTTTTGCTCCCAGATTAATGACACAGTGCCCAAAAGTATTGTATAAAGGTATGTTTGTGATCTCTCTTCTAGGGCTGTGCAAACCTGCAAGGGTTGAGTGAACAAGCTCACAGGACTGGGCTCTGGGTGTCCAGCTCTGAGTCTCATGCTTCTGGAGGAAGATGTGCCTCCAGCCCTCATGGCAGCCCTCAACACACAGGTGAGTCAGCTTGGGTCTGAAGTGCTGGCTACATGCAGGCACGCAAGGAAGCTTTCAGCTCTTGAGATCAGGAATGACCCAACAAGCTGTCCTTGGAAAAGGGGCAGTGGGATGAAAGGAATAATCGTTTCATGACTGTCTCATTCAAGAGCCATGAGTTGAACCACACAGAAGAAAATCAAGGCAGACAGTGTGCACATTTATTAAGAAGCAGTCAAAAAACCCTAGTTAATCCTAATTACTCGGGGAAATTTGGGGAATTATTTTCTACTTAGATTTCTCCTGCCTTACCAACTAGTTGAATTCAAGTCTGTCCTATGCTCTTCCTTAGTATTCATAATGGAAACCATCTGGTGCCTGCCTTGGTTCAAAGGAATAATTACTAATGCAGCTCAGCACAAATCAGAAAACAAATGGTGCTTTGCCTGCAGCACCAACAAGAAACATGTCATACCTTTCACATTGAGGACCTGGAGCTGGGCAAGATCCCCTATAGATTGTGGAAGACATTTTAAGAGATTCCTTTCAAGATTTAGGACCTAAGATATCAACAGAAAAGATAATCAAAATATTCTTTACACAAGTCTCAAGTCACTATATCTATGCTGTTGGGAAAATTCTACAGCCCCAAAAGGCAATTTAAAAGTAGTTTTCTAGGTTACAAAAACAAAAATGCTTTTAGAATGAGTCCTTAATCATCTGCCAGGGAAAAATGTGTATCTGTCAATACTGTTTGGATCCACAGGCTGAAAACACAGTTCATTTCCTAGACACCCTGAATCCAGGGTACATATAGTTACTGCATGCATCTGCAAACAACAGCCAAAGTAGGTGCTGAATGCAGATGCATGAACTGGAAAGCCAAGCATACTTGCCTCCCCAGCCACACTGCCTCAGCTCACACAGGGAGCAGATGACTGAACAGCAGTGATGTGCATCCAGAGCTGCACCCCAAAGCAGAGGGGACCCTCTGAAATGCACTATGACACACTGAGTTGAGTCCTCTGAGTGTAATCACACCAGGGAGAATGCTAAAACCTGAACAATTTAGGAAACTACAGCTCTACTCACTCACAGCCCTTGCTTGGCAGTGTGAGCTATTTGGACTAAGCAGGGACCATAGATTTCAGTACACTCTTCTCCTGATCTCTCCCCCTGACAAGCCAGCTCAACAGCAACAGTCAGATCAGTGACACAGATCTGACATCCTGAGGACCACCACTGACATTGTACTTAACTATGAAACAGCAGTAAAACCCCACCTTCATGCTGACCCCTAACATGCCATTTACAATAACTTGGGATACAGCAGATCCTTTACCTGAAGAGATGTCAGCTGACTAATATCAGTAGGAAGTGATGCCAGCTGGTTGTCGTGCAGATCTAGAACCTGGAAGAACAGATAATTTCACCAAACAGTATTGGGGAAAGATGTCGTGATGCAAAAATGAAAGGTTGTGAATTACTGACCAATGAAAATTATTTTTTCCCATGAGGGCTTCAAAAAAAGTCTGAAGTTTTCCATGGGATGGAGGCTCTTCACTCTTGCAGGTCTTTTGAAAACTCCATACACTGATAAACAAACAGGTGACCAGGGAAAGCAGTGGCACCAGGGGAACTGTGCCACAAAACTGGACAAGCCAAGTGAACAAATAATGTTCATGAAAACAGGCTGGCAGAAAAACATTTTCTGCAGGGTCCGTGGGCTGAACTGCTTCACAGAGAGACAGAATCACAGAATGGCCAGGGTTGGAAGGGACCTCAAGGATCACGAAGCTCCAACCCCCTGCCACACACAGGGCCACCAACCTCCACGTTTCATACCAGCCCAGGCTGCCCAGGGCCCCATCCAACCTGGCCTTGAACACCTCCAGGGATGGACGGGGCATCACAGCCTCTCTGGGCAGCTGTTCCAGCACCTCACCACTCTCTCTGTCAAGAACTTCACCCTGACATCCAACCTCAATCTTCTCTCCCTCAACTTCAAACCATTTCCCCTTGTCCTGCTGTTATCTCCCCTTTCCAAGAGTTGATTCCCCTCCTGTTTGTAGGCTCCCTTTAGATACTGAAAGGCTGCACTGAGGTCACCCTCCAGCCTTCTTTTCTCCAGGCCAAACAAGCCCAGCTCCCTCAGCCTGCCCAAGGTCCACCCTTGGGAAGCTTTACCCATTTCCCCACTGGGCACAGCAACACAGAAGCAGAACAGGCACAAGGCCTTATCACAGCAGAAGCCTGTTGTCAAATCATGTGCAAACAGCTGATTTCCTATAGTCCCCATGCTAATGTTTTGCACACTTTATGCTTCACAAGCAGTATGGGATGCATTCCTAGTGCATGACTGCTGTACACTGTACACTGTTTCGCACTGTAGCCAAAAGCCACACTTCTGGCTTAAGCTGGAGCAGTTACAAAGATTACATTTCTCCACATAACTCTGCATCTAAGTAGCCTCAAACAACAGTTACTTAGGAATTGTGTGGTGCTTTGTCTAGCGGGAATTGATGCTGCTTGAACTAATCCAGCAACCAACAGCCACAACTCAGCACACAAAACGCAACCCAAATCCCTTAGTTTCAAATAAAAGGGAAACAAACCTTTGACACCTGGTGCTGCCTCTTTCAGTAGCTGGTCCAAACATGCCTGGCTTGGGCTGGCAGCGGCAGGGCGATGAAGCGGCCGGCTTCACGTCCCTCCCTGGAGATGGAGCTGCTTTTCCCACGTTTCCATGTTGGTCTTCCCAAGCGGTGGCCTGTCAGCCAAAGCGTAACTGCCAGCGAAGCCTGTGAGCATCACCTTGCTCTCTGAGGACTGAGAGAAAGAAAAGGAGGGGAGGCAGCGCACGAGGAAGAAAGGTGTCCCTGCACTCAGCCCCTTGAGCTCGTCACTCAAGCTTCCCTGGTGGCTTTTTCAGCCTTCTGTAGCACTGACTGTTCCTGCTTGGCCTGGGAAGGCCAGCTGCACCTGCGGGCAGCCGAGGGCTGCGCGTCAGCCTCCCGTTGAGCCGCGAGGAGTTCAAGTGCGGGTGGGCTGGTGTGAAGAGCAGCGCTGGGAGTGGGGCAGGAGGAGAGGGCAGCGGGAGGGCTGCAGGTGAGCGCGCCTGGGGCCCAGAGCTCAGGCGTGAGCCGGGAGGGCAGCGAGCCGTGCTGCTTCAGCTGCAATGGCTTTGAGGGAGAGGAGAGGAGAGGAGAGGAGAGGAGAGGAGAGGAGAGGAGAGGAGAGGAGAGGAGAGGAGAGGCTGCACATGAAGAGTGTCTGCCTGCCATTTTGGATTGGCACGTCGGTGTCTTCCTCCTTCCATGAAGGAGCCTGCACGGTGCACTGGGTGCAGCGTGCTACATGGCACTGCCTTCTGCTGCCTGCCTGCCTGCCCGCCTGCCTGCTGCACTGCTGGAGAGGAAAGAGCGGGTTGTGGGGCTGCGTGCAGGCAAGGAGCTGGCTGCAAAGGAGGGAAACGGAGTATTTAGGAGCGGTTAGTGCGTGTTAGGTTTGGGTGTGGATGCAGCGGGGGCTGAGTCACCTCCATCAGCTCCTGGGGGCTGGGGCCGAGCCCGGTGCGTGGGGCTGCGCTGCGGGCAGGAGGGCTGCGGGGCTGGGGCAGTGGTGTGGGTGCAGCACATGGGGCCGTGAGAGGGCGTGCAGCAGGGAGGGCGTTGGGCCCGAGCCGCGCTCGTGTTTGTCGCAGCACAGGGGCTGCAGGGGATGCCAGGAGTGCAGAGCAGAGCGGGGAGAGGCGGGCTGTATGAAGGCCAGGGCATGAAGTCTTCCCTTGGCAGCTCCGGAGCTGCTGGGCTTTTCCCCCAAGTCTTCAGACTGTGGGGTGATAAGGCTCCGCAGCAAAGGCAGCCGGGCCCTCCTGATACTTGGGGGTTAGGAAAGGGCAAAACAAATCAGAGTCTTTCAAGAGCACAAAGCAGTGAAGCACAGCACAAGCCATTTATTGTCTGCGTAGGTGATCTTCTCCAGGCATGTCCATTGGAGATGTGCAGACTGAGTGTGGACAGAAAGCAAATGGAAGGCAGGGCAGGGCAGGGGAGGGGAGGGGAAGAAAGTAAGAAATGAAAGGAAAGAAAAAGGGAAATGTGGAGGGGAAGAGAGAAGGAGAAAAGGAAAGGAAGAGAAAAGAGAAGCAAGGCAAAGGAAAGCAAAAGGGGGAAAAGGGAAAAGGCAGAAAAGGAGAAGAAGCCAAGTTGCATGCCGCCGGCGCCACCCGAGGGGAATCCGGCAGCGGACCCCCCAGCTGCCCCTCCCCCTCCTCCAGGCCCCGGGCCGCCCTCAGCAACGTGACGCCGCAGGCGGTTGGTAGGGCCGGGGCAGGAAGTGGTTCCTGGCGGCGGAGAGCACTTCCGGGGCAGCGCGGCATGGCGGCGCCGGGCCGGTGAGCGGGGCCGGGAGGAGCGGGCTGTGTGCTGGGAACGGGGTCGGGGCTCGGTGCGGGGGCATGGAGGGGCGCTCGGGGGAGGAGCTGGCGGTGCTGCCGGCACGCAGAGGCGATGCGTGCGGCGCCGCCGAGTGCTGCGGGGTCGGGGGGCAGCTTCCTCTCAGGGAAGGCCGTGCGTGTGCGGAGCTTTGTTGGTGTTTCGGGTGTGCGAAGGAGGAGGCCCCGTAGGGCCGAGTTGTAGCCAGCAAAGCCCGGGCGGGCAGTGGAGCAAGGCGCGTGGGTGCTGTGTTGGCCGGAGGGTGCGGAGCTGGAAGAAGGTTTGTGAAGATGTGCTTCCTGTGGACGTCCCTTGTCAGGACGAGCCAGGGCTGCAGTTGTGTGTGACTGTGCTTGTTGCTTGGGAGAACTGCTGCCTTAGTAGGCTGGGGGGGAGGGAGAGGGAGATTTGAAGACTGCCATCAGTCAGGAGCACGGCACGTTTCTGCCTGCTTTGCTCATGCTGTTGTGTGGGTCCCCGCGAAGCATCGGTGAGCCAGGGTGGCCCCGTGTGTGTGGCAGCATTGTGCGCGGATGTGGAAAGGAGTCAGAGTGATTGTAATGAAAATGCAGCTGGCGGTATTTATTGTGGGGAATGGTTGAATCCCCAGCCGTGAGGCGCAAGAAGAGGCGGTGGATGCTAACGTGGAAAGCGGAGCTTGTGTGTGCCAGGAGGCAGGCGTGGCGAGGTGTGCTTTGGAGCCTGCTGTTGTTGGCGCTGGGCTGGGGAGGCCCCTGAACATGGCGCTGTGTGCTGCGTGTCCCAGCCCCAACAGATTCCCGTGTGGAAGAAGGGAGAGGATGAAGGAGGCCGAGGGCCCTTTTCTCGGGGCCGGCTCCTCTGTGGCCTCTTGCTTGCCGGAGAGAAGGGCTGCCCGCTGGGCACAGGGAGTGCCTTCTAGCTGCCGTCCCGTGCCCTGTCCTCCAGCCCCCTCCTCATGCTATGTGGAACGCCATTGCCAGCAGTGCGGCTGCCATTTTAGAACCTTCGCCGCATCACAGCCGTCACCTTGGTCACCGCTGTCCGGGCCAACGCACTCGCTCTGAGAGCTCTGGCAGCCATGCCAGGAGCGAAGCGAGCGAGGGGCGAAGTTTGCCCTCTTTTAAATGGGAAGAGGGAGCTTGGCTTCCCAGAAGCGAAGAGGAGGAGGGGGGCCGCCTTGAAGATCAAGCGGAGGAGGGGGCAGAGAGTGCGTTTGCATCGCGCCTGGGCCAGCGCTGTGACCACCTCCGTGGAGCCCATGGAGGTGGATCCACCTCCGGATGAGCCCATGGAGGTGGATCCACCTCCCGATGAGCCCATGGAGGTGGATCCGCCTGTGGCACAGCTGGCCTGGCACCACACCACCGTGCCAGGCCCCGCATCGGCGCCGTCACAGCTCCACCGCCGCTGGTCCAGGCGCTCGGCTCCCTACCCGCTGCGCGGCCCCCGCCCCCAGCATTAGCTGGGTGGCATTAGTTTCCATCAGCTCCTCCTCCGAGCCTCCTGTGGAGCCAAGTTCTCCTCTTCCCATTTAAATGCTGCAGGTGTTATAGTTTAGTTGTTGTTTTTGTTGTTGATTTTAGTGTTTAGTGTTAGTGTTAGGAGTAGATTATTGTTCATATTTTAGAGTTAGGTGTAGGTCACTTGTAGTCTTTTAGTGTTAGGCATAGGTTCCTGTTCTTATGTTAGAGTTAGGCATAGGTTACTTGTAGTCTTTTAGTGTTAGGCATAGGTTCCTGTTCATACTTGACAGTTAGGGGTAGCTTGCTCCTGTCAAGTGGAAGTGAGCATCGCTCACTCGGTAAGCACACGCCTGATTGATCGTCCGAAGACATGAGTGCGAGTGCCGTGAGCACGGAGGCCCGATGGCATCTTGGATGGCTTGAATTTCCAGCTTGTGACTTTTGTGTTGCAGACCGTCGAGGAGCAGAGTGTGAGTGGCTGCGCCATTGCGTTGGGCCTCAGGAGAACAGTGTGTGACTGTGTCTCGAGCATCCTGCGTGGCCGTTGCCAGGTAGGCGTGCCTTCCTTTGCAGTAAGCAGTGCTTAGGCGTGAGCCCAGCTCATCCCCCTGTGCTCAGCAGATGGGCTTTCTGCGTGCTTTATTTCTGTGCTTGGTGCCGTCCGGCACAGCAGCAGCAAGGCCGTGAACACGTACGTACCCAGGTAGATGCAAATGTGCAACTGATGGGATTAATGCTATTGTTGTTAGTGTTCATGAGACAGTGGTCGTGCATGTGCGATCAACCTCAGGGAGAAGTTGATTGTTGCCTGTTCAGCTCTGGCTGAAATGCAAGTTTGGCGTCCCTCCTTGTGGTTGGGTCGGAAGACCAAGGATATCTTGAGAGCACGTCTGTGAGTCAGGCTGGGAGTTTTTGCTAGCAGGAAGTCACAGCGTCGGAGCGCACGATAGGAATGATGGCTCTCGTTTCCCCCTTGTAGAAAGCAGCCTCCTGGAGAGCAGCAGAGCAGCAGGCTGTCTGCGCTATGGCCACTGAAGTGCATTTCTCGGCCCCTGAGATCCCTGAGCCCACGCTGATGGAGAACGTGCTGCGCTGCGGCCTCTTCTTTGGAGCCGTTTTCCAGCTTCTGTGCGTGTGGGCCATAATGCTGCCAGTTTCCAAGTGCCCAGAGACAGTAAGTAGCGCTCTGTTTGATAGAGGTTGATAGAAATGCTGAGGAAATGGGCTGGGAGGGAAGCAGCTGGAGCCGTTGCCTACGGTAGCGCGCCGCGGCATTGCTGAGAATGTGGCAGTTTGTTCTGCCCTTCCTTGGGCGTGCGTGCTGTTCCTGGTGGCACGCAGGGAGCCTGGAGGTGCAAGCTCATCTTATCGTCCTGCTGCTGCTGCTTCTGTGGGCTGTGAGTGGCAGGCAGGGCGTCCCCCTGTGCAGGGACTGCCTTGCAGGAAAGGCCTGTAGACTGTAGGTTACGTGGGTTTTTTGGGAACAAGAGAGAGGTGGAGTTTCTGTTGTGCCCTGATGTCAGGAAGGCAATTTGCAGCACTGGCACCCAAAGCTGCCCAGTCAGGTGACTTGAGCTGCCAAAGCGAGCTGTCGGGCAATTGTCAGAAAGTTCCCTGACTGTTTGTGAATTGATTCCTGCAGGACTCGGACGGCTTGGAGTCTAAGACTTGGGAGACGGCGAAGAAACCAAAGGCAAGTGCTGCACAGCTAAGCAAGAAAGCCAAGAAGGAAAGCAAAAAGAAACGGTGAGGGCTTGAGCGATAAGCCTCAAAGGCCAAAGGAAGCAGCGGGAATGCTTGCTGAGAGGTGCTCCAAAGGCAGCGCACTGTACGTCTGGTTTTGTGGCGTGGCCGTGCTTTCCCTTGCACGGACATTGGAGAGGAACTGAGGAAGCTGGAGGGGCTTCTGATGCGTGACAAACAAATCGGACTTTGCCTGTGCGGGATTTCATGTCTGGCAAGAGCTGGGGACGCTGCGTTCCTTCAGGGTCCTTCAGCTCGATAGCTGTTTCAGAATGTTGATGATGAGGTGAACATAGCGCATGTCGCTGGTCATGAGCGGTATCCAGGCTATTTTATTTTCTGTTGACGTATCTACAAAACGCAACCCAAATCCCTTAGTTTCAAATAAAAGGGAAACAAACCTTTGACACCTGGTGCTGCCTCTTTCAGTAGCTGGTCCAAACATGCCTGGCTTGGGCTGGCAGCGGCAGGGCGATGAAGCGGCCGGCTTCACGTCCCTCCCTGGAGATGGAGCTGCTTTTCCCGCGTTTGCATGTTGGTCTTCCCAAGCGGTGGCCTTTCAGCCAAAGCGTAACTGCCAGCGAAGCCTGTGAGCATCACCTTGCTCTCTGAGGACTGAGAGAAAGAAAAGGAGGGGAGGCAGCGCACGAGGAAGAAAGGTGTCCCTGCACTCAGCCCCTTGAGCTCGTCACTCAAGCTTCCCTGGTGGCTTTTTCAGCCTTCTGTAGCACTGACTGTTCCTGCTTGGCCTGGGAAGGCCAGCTGCACCTGCGGGCAGCCGAGGGCTGCACGTCAGCCTCCCGTTGAGCCGCGAGGAGTTCAAGTGCGGGTGGGCTGGTGTGAAGAGCAGCGCTGGGAGTGGGGCAGGAGGAGAGGGCAGCGGGAGGGCTGCAGGTGAGCGCGCCTGGGGCCCAGAGCTCAGGCGTGAGCCGGGAGGGCAGCGAGCCGTGCTGCGCTGCTTCAGCTGCAATGGCTTTGAGGGAGAGGAGAGGAGAGGAGAGGAGAGGAGAGGAGAGGAGAGGAGAGGAGAGGAGAGGAGAGGAGAGGAGAGGAGAGGAGAGGAGAGGAGAGGAGAGGAGAGGAGAGGAGAGGAGAGGAGAGGAGAGGAGAGGAGAGGAGAGGAGAGGAGAGGAGAGGAGAGGAGAGGAGAGGAGAGGAGAGGAGAGGAGAGGAGAGGAGAGGAGAGGAGAGGAGAGGAGAGGAGAGGAGAGGAGAGGAGAGGAGAGGAGAGGAGAGGAGAGGAGAGGAGAGGAGAGGAGAGGAGAGGAGAGGAGAGGAGAGGAGAGGAGAGGAGAGGAGAGGAGAGGAGAGGAGAGGAGAGGCTGCACATGAAGAGTGTCTGCCTGCCATTTTGGATTGGCGCGTCGGTGTCTTCCTCCTTCCATGAAGGAGCCTGCACGGTGCACTGGGTGCAGCGTGCTACATGGCACTGCCTTCTGCTGCCTGCCTGCCTGCCCGCCTGCCTGCTGCACTGCTGGAGAGGAAAGAGCGGGTTGTGGGGCTGCGTGCAGGCAAGGAGCTGGCTGCAAAGGAGGGAAACGGAGTATTTAGGAGCGGTTAGTGCGTGTTAGGTTTGGGTGTGGATGCAGCGGGGGCTGAGTCACCTCCATCAGCTCCTGGGGGCTGGGGCCGAGCCCGGTGCGTGGGGCTGCGGGGCTGGGGCAGTGGTGTGGGTGCAGCACATGGGGCCGTGAGAGGGCGTGCAGCAGGGAGGGCGTTGGGCCCGAGCCGCGCTCGTGTTTGTCGCAGCACAGGGGCTGCAGGGGATGCCAGGAGTGCAGAGCAGAGCGGGGAGAGGCGGGCTGTATGAAGGCCAGGGCATGAAGTCTTCCCTTGGCAGCTCCGGAGCTGCTGGGCTTTTCCCCCAAGTCTTCAGACTGTGGGGTGATAAGGCTCCGCAGCAAAGGCAGCCGGGCCCTCCTGATACTTGGGGGTTAGGAAAGGGCAAAACAAATCAGAGTCTTTCAAGAGCACAAAGCAGTGAAGCACAGCACAAGCCATTTATTGTCTGCGTAGGTGATCTTCTCCAGGCATGTCCATTGGAGATGTGCAGACTGAGTGTGGACAGAAAGCAAATGGAAGGCAGGGCAGGGGAGGGGAGGGGAGGGGAGGGGAAGAAAGTAAGAAATGAAAGGAAAGAAAAAGGGAAATGTGGAGGGGAAGAGAGAAGGAGAAAAGGAAAGGAAGAGAAAAGAGAAGCAAGGCAAAGGAAAGCAAAAGGGGGAAAAGGGAAAAGGCAGAAAAGGAGAAGAAGCCAAGTTGCATGCCGCCGGCGCCACCCGAGGGGAATCCGGCAGCGGACCCCCCAGCTGCCCCTCCCCCTCCTCCAGGCCCCGGGCCGCCCTCAGCAACGTGACGCCGCAGGCGGTTGGTAGGGCCGGGGCAGGAAGTGGTTCCTGGCGGCGGAGAGCACTTCCGGGGCAGCGCGGCATGGCGGCGCCGGGCCGGTGAGCGGGGCCGGGAGGAGCGGGCTGTGTGCTGGGAACGGGGTCGGGGCTCGGTGCGGGGGCATGGAGGGGCGCTCGGGGGAGGAGCTGGCGGTGCTGCCGGCACGCAGAGGCGATGCGTGCGGCGCCGCCGAGTGCTGCGGGGTCGGGGGGCAGCTTCCTCTCAGGGAAGGCCGTGCGTGTGCGGAGCTTTGTTGGTGTTTCGGGTGTGCGAAGGAGGAGGCCCCGTAGGGCCGAGTTGTAGCCAGCAAAGCCCGGGCGGGCAGTGGAGCAAGGCGCGTGGGTGCTGTGTTGGCCGGAGGGTGCGGAGCTGGAAGAAGGTTTGTGAAGATGTGCTTCCTGTGGACGTCCCTTGTCAGGACGAGCCAGGGCTGCAGTTGTGTGTGACTGTGCTTGTTGCTTGGGAGAACTGCTGCCTTAGTAGGCTGGGGGGGAGGGAGAGGGAGATTTGAAGACTGCCATCAGTCAGGAGCACGGCACGTTTCTGCCTGCTTTGCTCATGCTGTTGTGTGGGTCCCCGCGAAGCATCGGTGAGCCAGGGTGGCCCCGTGTGTGTGGCAGCATTGTGCGCGGATGTGGAAAGGAGTCAGAGTGATTGTAATGAAAATGCAGCTGGCGGTATTTATTGTGGGGAATGGTTGAATCCCCAGCCGTGAGGCGCAAGAAGAGGCGGTGGATGCTAACGTGGAAAGCGGAGCTTGTGTGTGCCAGGAGGCAGGCGTGGCGAGGTGTGCTTTGGAGCCTGCTGTTGTTGGCGCTGGGCTGGGGAGGCCCCTGAACATGGCGCTGTGTGCTGCGTGTCCCAGCCCCAACAGATTCCCGTGTGGAAGAAGGGAGAGGATGAAGGAGGCCGAGGGCCCTTTTCTCGGGGCCGGCTCCTCTGTGGCCTCTTGCTTGCCGGAGAGAAGGGCTGCCCGCTGGGCACAGGGAGTGCCTTCTAGCTGCCGTCCCGTGCCCTGTCCTCCAGCCCCCTCCTCATGCTATGTGGAACGCCATTGCCAGCAGTGCGGCTGCCATTTTAGAACCTTCGCCGCATCACAGCCGTCACCTTGGTCACCGCTGTCCGGGCCAACGCACTCGCTCTGAGAGCTCTGGCAGCCATGCCAGGAGCGAAGCGAGCGAGGGGCGAAGTTTGCCCTCTTTTAAATGGGAAGAGGGAGCTTGGCTTCCCAGAAGCGAAGAGGAGGAGGGGGGCCGCCTTGAAGATCAAGCGGAGGAGGGGGCAGAGAGTGCGTTTGCATCGCGCCTGGGCCAGCGCTGTGACCACCTCCGTGGAGCCCATGGAGGTGGATCCACCTCCGGATGAGCCCATGGAGGTGGATCCACCTCCCGATGAGCCCATGGAGGTGGATCCGCCTGCGGCACAGCTGGCCTGGCACCACACCACCGTGCCAGGCCCCGCATCGGCGCCGTCACAGCTCCACCGCCGCTGGTCCAGGCGCTCGGCTCCCTACCCGCTGCGCGGCCCCCGCCCCCAGCATTAGCTGGGTGGCATTAGTTTCCATCAGCTCCTCCTCCGAGCCTCCTGTGGAGCCAAGTTCTCCTCTTCCCATTTAAATGCTGCAGGTGTTATAGTTTAGTTGTTGTTTTTGTTGTTGATTTTAGTGTTTAGTGTTAGTGTTAGGAGTAGATTATTGTTCATATTTTAGAGTTAGGTGTAGGTCACTTGTAGTCTTTTAGTGTTAGGCATAGGTTCCTGTTCTTATGTTAGAGTTAGGCATAGGTTACTTGTAGTCTTTTAGTGTTAGGCATAGGTTCCTGTTCATACTTGACAGTTAGGGGTAGCTTGCTCCTGTCAAGTGGAAGTGAGCATCGCTCACTCGGTAAGCACACGCCTGATTGATCGTCCGAAGACATGAGTGCGAGTGCCGTGAGCACGGAGGCCCGATGGCATCTTGGATGGCTTGAATTTCCAGCTTGTGACTTTTGTGTTGCAGACCGTCGAGGAGCAGAGTGTGAGTGGCTGCGCCATTGCGTTGGGCCTCAGGAGAACAGTGTGTGACTGTGTCTCGAGCATCCTGCGTGGCCGTTGCCAGGTAGGCGTGCCTTCCTTTGCAGTAAGCAGTGCTTAGGCGTGAGCCCAGCTCATCCCCCTGTGCTCAGCAGATGGGCTTTCTGCGTGCTTTATTTCTGTGCTTGGTGCCGTCCGGCACAGCAGCAGCAAGGCCGTGAACACGTACGTACCCAGGTAGATGCAAATGTGCAACTGATGGGATTAATGCTATTGTTGTTAGTGTTCATGAGACAGTGGTCGTGCATGTGCGATCAACCTCAGGGAGAAGTTGATTGTTGCCTGTTCAGCTCTGGCTGAAATGCAAGTTTGGCGTCCCTCCTTGTGGTTGGGTCGGAAGACCAAGGATATCTTGAGAGCACGTCTGTGAGTCAGGCTGGGAGTTTTTGCTAGCAGGAAGTCACAGCGTCGGAGCGCACGATAGGAATGATGGCTCTCGTTTCCCCCTTGTAGAAAGCAGCCTCCTGGAGAGCAGCAGAGCAGCAGGCTGTCTGCGCTATGGCCACTGAAGTGCATTTCTCGGCCCCTGAGATCCCTGAGCCCACGCTGATGGAGAACGTGCTGCGCTGCGGCCTCTTCTTTGGAGCCGTTTTCCAGCTTCTGTGCGTGTGGGCCATAATGCTGCCAGTTTCCAAGTGCCCAGAGACAGTAAGTAGCGCTCTGTTTGATAGAGGTTGATAGAAATGCTGAGGAAATGGGCTGGGAGGGAAGCAGCTGGAGCCGTTGCCTACGGTAGCGCGCCGCGGCATTGCTGAGAATGTGGCAGTTTGTTCTGCCCTTCCTTGGGCGTGCGTGCTGTTCCTGGTGGCACGCAGGGAGCCTGGAGGTGCAAGCTCATCTTATCGTCCTGCTGCTGCTGCTTCTGTGGGCTGTGAGTGGCAGGCAGGGCGTCCCCCTGTGCAGGGACTGCCTTGCAGGAAAGGCCTGTAGACTGTAGGTTACGTGGGTTTTTTGGGAACAAGAGAGAGGTGGAGTTTCTGTTGTGCCCTGATGTCAGGAAGGCAATTTGCAGCACTGGCACCCAAAGCTGCCCAGTCAGGTGACTTGAGCTGCCAAAGCGAGCTGTCGGGCAATTGTCAGAAAGTTCCCTGACTGTTTGTGAATTGATTCCTGCAGGACTCGGACGGCTTGGAGTCTAAGACTTGGGAGACGGCGAAGAAACCAAAGGCAAGTGCTGCACAGCTAAGCAAGAAAGCCAAGAAGGAAAGCAAAAAGAAACGGTGAGGGCTTGAGCGATAAGCCTCAAAGGCCAAAGGAAGCAGCGGGAATGCTTGCTGAGAGGTGCTCCAAAGGCAGCGCACTGTACGTCTGGTTTTGTGGCGTGGCCGTGCTTTCCCTTGCACGGACATTGGAGAGGAACTGAGGAAGCTGGAGGGGCTTCTGATGCGTGACAAACAAATCGGACTTTGCCTGTGCGGGATTTCATGTCTGGCAAGAGCTGGGGACGCTGCGTTCCTTCAGGGTCCTTCAGCTCGATAGCTGTTTCAGAATGTTGATGATGAGGTGAACATAGCGCATGTCGCTGGTCATGAGCGGTATCCAGGCTATTTTATTTTCTGTTGACGTATCTACAAAACGCAACCCAAATCCCTTAGTTTCAAATAAAAGGGAAACAAACCTTTGACACCTGGTGCTGCCTCTTTCAGTAGCTGGTCCAAACATGCCTGGCTTGGGCTGGCAGCGGCAGGGCGATGAAGCGGCCGGCTTCACGTCCCTCCCTGGAGATGGAGCTGCTTTTCCCGCGTTTGCATGTTGGTCTTCCCAAGCGGTGGCCTTTCAGCCAAAGCGTAACTGCCAGCGAAGCCTGTGAGCATCACCTTGCTCTCTGAGGACTGAGAGAAAGAAAAGGAGGGGAGGCAGCGCACGAGGAAGAAAGGTGTCCCTGCACTCAGCCCCTTGAGCTCGTCACTCAAGCTTCCCTGGTGGCTTTTTCAGCCTTCTGTAGCACTGACTGTTCCTGCTTGGCCTGGGAAGGCCAGCTGCACCTGCGGGCAGCCGAGGGCTGCACGTCAGCCTCCCGTTGAGCCGCGAGGAGTTCAAGTGCGGGTGGGCTGGTGTGAAGAGCAGCGCTGGGAGTGGGGCAGGAGGAGAGGGCAGCGGGAGGGCTGCAGGTGAGCGCGCCTGGGGCCCAGAGCTCAGGCGTGAGCCGGGAGGGCAGCGAGCCGTGCTGCGCTGCTTCAGCTGCAATGGCTTTGAGGGAGAGGAGAGGAGAGGAGAGGAGAGGAGAGGAGAGGAGAGGAGAGGAGAGGAGAGGCTGCACATGAAGAGTGTCTGCCTGCCATTTTGGATTGGCGCGTCGGTGTCTTCCTCCTTCCATGAAGGAGCCTGCACGGTGCACTGGGTGCAGCGTGCTACATGGCACTGCCTTCTGCTGCCTGCCTGCCTGCCCGCCTGCCTGCTGCACTGCTGGAGAGGAAAGAGCGGGTTGTGGGGCTGCGTGCAGGCAAGGAGCTGGCTGCAAAGGAGGGAAACGGAGTATTTAGGAGCGGTTAGTGCGTGTTAGGTTTGGGTGTGGATGCAGCGGGGGCTGAGTCACCTCCATCAGCTCCTGGGGGCTGGGGCCGAGCCCGGTGCGTGGGGCTGCGGGGCTGGGGCAGTGGTGTGGGTGCAGCACATGGGGCCGTGAGAGGGCGTGCAGCAGGGAGGGCGTTGGGCCCGAGCCGCGCTCGTGTTTGTCGCAGCACAGGGGCTGCAGGGGATGCCAGGAGTGCAGAGCAGAGCGGGGAGAGGCGGGCTGTATGAAGGCCAGGGCATGAAGTCTTCCCTTGGCAGCTCCGGAGCTGCTGGGCTTTTCCCCCAAGTCTTCAGACTGTGGGGTGATAAGGCTCCGCAGCAAAGGCAGCCGGGCCCTCCTGATACTTGGGGGTTAGGAAAGGGCAAAACAAATCAGAGTCTTTCAAGAGCACAAAGCAGTGAAGCACAGCACAAGCCATTTATTGTCTGCGTAGGTGATCTTCTCCAGGCATGTCCATTGGAGATGTGCAGACTGAGTGTGGACAGAAAGCAAATGGAAGGCAGGGCAGGGGAGGGGAGGGGAGGGGAAGAAAGTAAGAAATGAAAGGAAAGAAAAAGGGAAATGTGGAGGGGAAGAGAGAAGGAGAAAAGGAAAGGAAGAGAAAAGAGAAGCAAGGCAAAGGAAAGCAAAAGGGGGAAAAGGGAAAAGGCAGAAAAGGAGAAGAAGCCAAGTTGCATGCCGCCGGCGCCACCCGAGGGGAATCCGGCAGCGGACCCCCCAGCTGCCCCTCCCCCTCCTCCAGGCCCCGGGCCGCCCTCAGCAACGTGACGCCGCAGGCGGTTGGTAGGGCCGGGGCAGGAAGTGGTTCCTGGCGGCGGAGAGCACTTCCGGGGCAGCGCGGCATGGCGGCGCCGGGCCGGTGAGCGGGGCCGGGAGGAGCGGGCTGTGTGCTGGGAACGGGGTCGGGGCTCGGTGCGGGGGCATGGAGGGGCGCTCGGGGGAGGAGCTGGCGGTGCTGCCGGCACGCAGAGGCGATGCGTGCGGCGCCGCCGAGTGCTGCGGGGTCGGGGGGCAGCTTCCTCTCAGGGAAGGCCGTGCGTGTGCGGAGCTTTGTTGGTGTTTCGGGTGTGCGAAGGAGGAGGCCCCGTAGGGCCGAGTTGTAGCCAGCAAAGCCCGGGCGGGCAGTGGAGCAAGGCGCGTGGGTGCTGTGTTGGCCGGAGGGTGCGGAGCTGGAAGAAGGTTTGTGAAGATGTGCTTCCTGTGGACGTCCCTTGTCAGGACGAGCCAGGGCTGCAGTTGTGTGTGACTGTGCTTGTTGCTTGGGAGAACTGCTGCCTTAGTAGGCTGGGGGGGAGGGAGAGGGAGATTTGAAGACTGCCATCAGTCAGGAGCACGGCACGTTTCTGCCTGCTTTGCTCATGCTGTTGTGTGGGTCCCCGCGAAGCATCGGTGAGCCAGGGTGGCCCCGTGTGTGTGGCAGCATTGTGCGCGGATGTGGAAAGGAGTCAGAGTGATTGTAATGAAAATGCAGCTGGCGGTATTTATTGTGGGGAATGGTTGAATCCCCAGCCGTGAGGCGCAAGAAGAGGCGGTGGATGCTAACGTGGAAAGCGGAGCTTGTGTGTGCCAGGAGGCAGGCGTGGCGAGGTGTGCTTTGGAGCCTGCTGTTGTTGGCGCTGGGCTGGGGAGGCCCCTGAACATGGCGCTGTGTGCTGCGTGTCCCAGCCCCAACAGATTCCCGTGTGGAAGAAGGGAGAGGATGAAGGAGGCCGAGGGCCCTTTTCTCGGGGCCGGCTCCTCTGTGGCCTCTTGCTTGCCGGAGAGAAGGGCTGCCCGCTGGGCACAGGGAGTGCCTTCTAGCTGCCGTCCCGTGCCCTGTCCTCCAGCCCCCTCCTCATGCTATGTGGAACGCCATTGCCAGCAGTGCGGCTGCCATTTTAGAACCTTCGCCGCATCACAGCCGTCACCTTGGTCACCGCTGTCCGGGCCAACGCACTCGCTCTGAGAGCTCTGGCAGCCATGCCAGGAGCGAAGCGAGCGAGGGGCGAAGTTTGCCCTCTTTTAAATGGGAAGAGGGAGCTTGGCTTCCCAGAAGCGAAGAGGAGGAGGGGGGCCGCCTTGAAGATCAAGCGGAGGAGGGGGCAGAGAGTGCGTTTGCATCGCGCCTGGGCCAGCGCTGTGACCACCTCCGTGGAGCCCATGGAGGTGGATCCACCTCCGGATGAGCCCATGGAGGTGGATCCACCTCCCGATGAGCCCATGGAGGTGGATCCGCCTGCGGCACAGCTGGCCTGGCACCACACCACCGTGCCAGGCCCCGCATCGGCGCCGTCACAGCTCCACCGCCGCTGGTCCAGGCGCTCGGCTCCCTACCCGCTGCGCGGCCCCCGCCCCCAGCATTAGCTGGGTGGCATTAGTTTCCATCAGCTCCTCCTCCGAGCCTCCTGTGGAGCCAAGTTCTCCTCTTCCCATTTAAATGCTGCAGGTGTTATAGTTTAGTTGTTGTTTTTGTTGTTGATTTTAGTGTTTAGTGTTAGTGTTAGGAGTAGATTATTGTTCATATTTTAGAGTTAGGTGTAGGTCACTTGTAGTCTTTTAGTGTTAGGCATAGGTTCCTGTTCTTATGTTAGAGTTAGGCATAGGTTACTTGTAGTCTTTTAGTGTTAGGCATAGGTTCCTGTTCATACTTGACAGTTAGGGGTAGCTTGCTCCTGTCAAGTGGAAGTGAGCATCGCTCACTCGGTAAGCACACGCCTGATTGATCGTCCGAAGACATGAGTGCGAGTGCCGTGAGCACGGAGGCCCGATGGCATCTTGGATGGCTTGAATTTCCAGCTTGTGACTTTTGTGTTGCAGACCGTCGAGGAGCAGAGTGTGAGTGGCTGCGCCATTGCGTTGGGCCTCAGGAGAACAGTGTGTGACTGTGTCTCGAGCATCCTGCGTGGCCGTTGCCAGGTAGGCGTGCCTTCCTTTGCAGTAAGCAGTGCTTAGGCGTGAGCCCAGCTCATCCCCCTGTGCTCAGCAGATGGGCTTTCTGCGTGCTTTATTTCTGTGCTTGGTGCCGTCCGGCACAGCAGCAGCAAGGCCGTGAACACGTACGTACCCAGGTAGATGCAAATGTGCAACTGATGGGATTAATGCTATTGTTGTTAGTGTTCATGAGACAGTGGTCGTGCATGTGCGATCAACCTCAGGGAGAAGTTGATTGTTGCCTGTTCAGCTCTGGCTGAAATGCAAGTTTGGCGTCCCTCCTTGTGGTTGGGTCGGAAGACCAAGGATATCTTGAGAGCACGTCTGTGAGTCAGGCTGGGAGTTTTTGCTAGCAGGAAGTCACAGCGTCGGAGCGCACGATAGGAATGATGGCTCTCGTTTCCCCCTTGTAGAAAGCAGCCTCCTGGAGAGCAGCAGAGCAGCAGGCTGTCTGCGCTATGGCCACTGAAGTGCATTTCTCGGCCCCTGAGATCCCTGAGCCCACGCTGATGGAGAACGTGCTGCGCTGCGGCCTCTTCTTTGGAGCCGTTTTCCAGCTTCTGTGCGTGTGGGCCATAATGCTGCCAGTTTCCAAGTGCCCAGAGACAGTAAGTAGCGCTCTGTTTGATAGAGGTTGATAGAAATGCTGAGGAAATGGGCTGGGAGGGAAGCAGCTGGAGCCGTTGCCTACGGTAGCGCGCCGCGGCATTGCTGAGAATGTGGCAGTTTGTTCTGCCCTTCCTTGGGCGTGCGTGCTGTTCCTGGTGGCACGCAGGGAGCCTGGAGGTGCAAGCTCATCTTATCGTCCTGCTGCTGCTGCTTCTGTGGGCTGTGAGTGGCAGGCAGGGCGTCCCCCTGTGCAGGGACTGCCTTGCAGGAAAGGCCTGTAGACTGTAGGTTACGTGGGTTTTTTGGGAACAAGAGAGAGGTGGAGTTTCTGTTGTGCCCTGATGTCAGGAAGGCAATTTGCAGCACTGGCACCCAAAGCTGCCCAGTCAGGTGACTTGAGCTGCCAAAGCGAGCTGTCGGGCAATTGTCAGAAAGTTCCCTGACTGTTTGTGAATTGATTCCTGCAGGACTCGGACGGCTTGGAGTCTAAGACTTGGGAGACGGCGAAGAAACCAAAGGCAAGTGCTGCACAGCTAAGCAAGAAAGCCAAGAAGGAAAGCAAAAAGAAACGGTGAGGGCTTGAGCGATAAGCCTCAAAGGCCAAAGGAAGCAGCGGGAATGCTTGCTGAGAGGTGCTCCAAAGGCAGCGCACTGTACGTCTGGTTTTGTGGCGTGGCCGTGCTTTCCCTTGCACGGACATTGGAGAGGAACTGAGGAAGCTGGAGGGGCTTCTGATGCGTGACAAACAAATCGGACTTTGCCTGTGCGGGATTTCATGTCTGGCAAGAGCTGGGGACGCTGCGTTCCTTCAGGGTCCTTCAGCTCGATAGCTGTTTCAGAATGTTGATGATGAGGTGAACATAGCGCATGTCGCTGGTCATGAGCGGTATCCAGGCTATTTTATTTTCTGTTGACGTATCTACAAAACGCAACCCAAATCCCTTAGTTTCAAATAAAAGGGAAACAAACCTTTGACACCTGGTGCTGCCTCTTTCAGTAGCTGGTCCAAACATGCCTGGCTTGGGCTGGCAGCGGCAGGGCGATGAAGCGGCCGGCTTCACGTCCCTCCCTGGAGATGGAGCTGCTTTTCCCGCGTTTGCATGTTGGTCTTCCCAAGCGGTGGCCTTTCAGCCAAAGCGTAACTGCCAGCGAAGCCTGTGAGCATCACCTTGCTCTCTGAGGACTGAGAGAAAGAAAAGGAGGGGAGGCAGCGCACGAGGAAGAAAGGTGTCCCTGCACTCAGCCCCTTGAGCTCGTCACTCAAGCTTCCCTGGTGGCTTTTTCAGCCTTCTGTAGCACTGACTGTTCCTGCTTGGCCTGGGAAGGCCAGCTGCACCTGCGGGCAGCCGAGGGCTGCACGTCAGCCTCCCGTTGAGCCGCGAGGAGTTCAAGTGCGGGTGGGCTGGTGTGAAGAGCAGCGCTGGGAGTGGGGCAGGAGGAGAGGGCAGCGGGAGGGCTGCAGGTGAGCGCGCCTGGGGCCCAGAGCTCAGGCGTGAGCCGGGAGGGCAGCGAGCCGTGCTGCGCTGCTTCAGCTGCAATGGCTTTGAGGGAGAGGAGAGGAGAGGAGAGGAGAGGAGAGGAGAGGAGAGGAGAGGAGAGGAGAGGAGAGGAGAGGAGAGGAGAGGAGAGGAGAGGAGAGGAGAGGAGAGGAGAGGAGAGGAGAGGAGAGGAGAGGAGAGGAGAGGAGAGGAGAGGAGAGGAGAGGAGAGGAGAGGAGAGGAGAGGAGAGGAGAGGAGAGGAGAGGAGAGGAGAGGAGAGGAGAGGAGAGGAGAGGAGAGGAGAGGAGAGGAGAGGAGAGGAGAGGAGAGGAGAGGAGAGGAGAGGAGAGGAGAGGAGAGGAGAGGAGAGGAGAGGAGAGGAGAGGAGAGGAGAGGAGAGGAGAGGCTGCACATGAAGAGTGTCTGCCTGCCATTTTGGATTGGCGCGTCGGTGTCTTCCTCCTTCCATGAAGGAGCCTGCACGGTGCACTGGGTGCAGCGTGCTACATGGCACTGCCTTCTGCTGCCTGCCTGCCTGCCCGCCTGCCTGCTGCACTGCTGGAGAGGAAAGAGCGGGTTGTGGGGCTGCGTGCAGGCAAGGAGCTGGCTGCAAAGGAGGGAAACGGAGTATTTAGGAGCGGTTAGTGCGTGTTAGGTTTGGGTGTGGATGCAGCGGGGGCTGAGTCACCTCCATCAGCTCCTGGGGGCTGGGGCCGAGCCCGGTGCGTGGGGCTGCGGGGCTGGGGCAGTGGTGTGGGTGCAGCACATGGGGCCGTGAGAGGGCGTGCAGCAGGGAGGGCGTTGGGCCCGAGCCGCGCTCGTGTTTGTCGCAGCACAGGGGCTGCAGGGGATGCCAGGAGTGCAGAGCAGAGCGGGGAGAGGCGGGCTGTATGAAGGCCAGGGCATGAAGTCTTCCCTTGGCAGCTCCGGAGCTGCTGGGCTTTTCCCCCAAGTCTTCAGACTGTGGGGTGATAAGGCTCCGCAGCAAAGGCAGCCGGGCCCTCCTGATACTTGGGGGTTAGGAAAGGGCAAAACAAATCAGAGTCTTTCAAGAGCACAAAGCAGTGAAGCACAGCACAAGCCATTTATTGTCTGCGTAGGTGATCTTCTCCAGGCATGTCCATTGGAGATGTGCAGACTGAGTGTGGACAGAAAGCAAATGGAAGGCAGGGCAGGGGAGGGGAGGGGAGGGGAAGAAAGTAAGAAATGAAAGGAAAGAAAAAGGGAAATGTGGAGGGGAAGAGAGAAGGAGAAAAGGAAAGGAAGAGAAAAGAGAAGCAAGGCAAAGGAAAGCAAAAGGGGGAAAAGGGAAAAGGCAGAAAAGGAGAAGAAGCCAAGTTGCATGCCGCCGGCGCCACCCGAGGGGAATCCGGCAGCGGACCCCCCAGCTGCCCCTCCCCCTCCTCCAGGCCCCGGGCCGCCCTCAGCAACGTGACGCCGCAGGCGGTTGGTAGGGCCGGGGCAGGAAGTGGTTCCTGGCGGCGGAGAGCACTTCCGGGGCAGCGCGGCATGGCGGCGCCGGGCCGGTGAGCGGGGCCGGGAGGAGCGGGCTGTGTGCTGGGAACGGGGTCGGGGCTCGGTGCGGGGGCATGGAGGGGCGCTCGGGGGAGGAGCTGGCGGTGCTGCCGGCACGCAGAGGCGATGCGTGCGGCGCCGCCGAGTGCTGCGGGGTCGGGGGGCAGCTTCCTCTCAGGGAAGGCCGTGCGTGTGCGGAGCTTTGTTGGTGTTTCGGGTGTGCGAAGGAGGAGGCCCCGTAGGGCCGAGTTGTAGCCAGCAAAGCCCGGGCGGGCAGTGGAGCAAGGCGCGTGGGTGCTGTGTTGGCCGGAGGGTGCGGAGCTGGAAGAAGGTTTGTGAAGATGTGCTTCCTGTGGACGTCCCTTGTCAGGACGAGCCAGGGCTGCAGTTGTGTGTGACTGTGCTTGTTGCTTGGGAGAACTGCTGCCTTAGTAGGCTGGGGGGGAGGGAGAGGGAGATTTGAAGACTGCCATCAGTCAGGAGCACGGCACGTTTCTGCCTGCTTTGCTCATGCTGTTGTGTGGGTCCCCGCGAAGCATCGGTGAGCCAGGGTGGCCCCGTGTGTGTGGCAGCATTGTGCGCGGATGTGGAAAGGAGTCAGAGTGATTGTAATGAAAATGCAGCTGGCGGTATTTATTGTGGGGAATGGTTGAATCCCCAGCCGTGAGGCGCAAGAAGAGGCGGTGGATGCTAACGTGGAAAGCGGAGCTTGTGTGTGCCAGGAGGCAGGCGTGGCGAGGT